CCCGTTACTAGCGTGGTGTACCTAATAAAGTGGCCGGTGAGTGTAAATTGTTTGTTTACTTAGCTTATTGTTTATTGTATTGTTCTGTGTTTTTCAACATTTTTGACCAATTTAAATGTATTTTCCAAAAATGTTTTTTTGTGATTCTTGATCAGTTTTTTTTTTCTTTTTACGTATTTACAGATTTATTTTGCTGGAATAAGCATTTTGATAAAAACGCCAGAACTCACGTGAACTCGCCAAATGCATTGAGCAAAACCTACTGTGTCCAGCAGAGAGGTATTCTTTTTAAAAAAAAATCTATTTGTAACATACAGAGCAGACTCAAACAGAACACGGAAAACTGAGGAGAAAATGAGGAAGAAAAACTTGACATCTTGGCATCTCAACATGTATTCCTGTGATAGGTCGTGGGTAAAGCTGCAGTCTTCGAATTAGAAATTTGCATGTCCAATCGTTGTTAGGAATTTCAGAGTTGAGACTCCCAGGCTTTTCTCACATAAAATGTCCCAGAAGTTGTATCATTCATGCATGWATGATACAAACAACAAATTGATTTTTTTATACAAAATGTTCAGTTGCTCCACATCTCTTGAAAACTTTAACTTATTTGTTCCTGGTTATTGAAACCYTTTTCTCTTTAATAGTACTCAGCAAGACTGCATGTGTGAAACTTGTTCTTGCTCTTGTAGGACGTAACAGATGTCTCGTAGTATAGCGGTTTCATAATTGGCTTATAATGTCTCCCTCTAATTAAATAAGTGATAATTAGATTTGAAAAGATGTGCAGAGGGTTAAATGATCARGCCTTAGCCACACAAGCCTGACTTKYAAGCACGGCTGAAGGATAAAACATAATGTGGGAATTGTTCTCTTGCTGTGCTATGTCTGACAGATAATTGCAAACTCCTGTTCCAGGAGGCGAAAGCATTCTTACTAAGAGAATACATTCTGTTAAAAGCTCTAATGCAGCCACTTGATAACTTGAGGAGAAACAAGAGACAAGGACTAAAGAACAAAAGAGGGAATAAAGAAAATGGGCAAAAGAGAGGGAGATAATGGAAAAAAGTTATAAAGGTGATGGGAAGACACAAAATAAAAATAAATAATGTGGAAAACAGAGAAAATGAAAGTCATTTAAAACAATTCTARCCTCCTCTATTTTCATACTCTTCTCACAGGCAGCCTTTTGGGGCTCCTCAACAAACAGAGATGGGAYCATTGTCTAAGCCGCTACCGAGGAATATTGATTTCCCTCTGCAAATTCTTTTTACTTTATCTCAGCGGCACATTGTTAAGCTGCGAGGTGCACTCAGAGGCCTTACATATAAACCAACACAGCTCAAATAGCAAGACAAAGCAACTTGTGTTGGTACTAATTAAACACTTACCCCTGGCACCAACTCAAACCACACAAACACTCTGATTGACGAAGTAGAGCAAAAGAGAAGACAATTAAAAAGAGCATCGATGTGACAGCCAGCGTGATACCACACAAAGGAATAAGTGCTAAAATTTCAAACAGTGTTTGGAAGAAATTAAGAAACACTAATCAAGTTGCTTTATGCTGCTTTGAAATCAATGGGTCGCTTAAACAGAACTCTAACTAATTGTAACATTAGTCATTATTTGATAAACATTTACTTCAACAATAAAAACAAGACTGTAAAAACACTGCACTCTGTTTAGATTTTAGGGATAAAAAAAGATATAAAACTATTAAAATATTTATTTAAATATCATACCATATGAATAAATATGAACATATTTGTAATGAACGTTGCCACGTTATTTACAAGACAAAACATTCTTTTATTGATCTTTATTTAACSAGATCCCATTGAGATCACGATGGTGATCACCAGGTGTCCTTTTGCAAGAGACACTTGGGTCTGAAGGCAACTTAGCATGCATGTTTTCTGTCTGTAGGAGGAAATCAGAGTACCCAGAGAAKGCCTACACAAAGACAAGATGAA